AAAGCATTCTCCTCTCTCTCTCTCTCTCCAACTTTGTGTTAACCAAACATGTTTTATTTATTTTAAAAAGACTTGTTGGTGGGAGGTGTGGAGGACTTATATAGACATGCACCAGAATGCAGAAAATATGTTTCTTGGAAAAAAATCCTGAAGATCTACTTGAAGACATATTTGAATCCACCTCCCTCTTTCTTCCCACCCAACTCCCTCCCATGCCTTTTTCCATCATTTTTTCACTAAGTTAGAGATTGTACAAATGTTCCAAGGATATAAAATTAGAGGTACATCTCACTTCATCTAAAGAACATATAGTATTGTGATGAACCAGTAAAAAAAAAAAAGAATTATAAAAATTAACCACAGTAGTTTAGCAATGCATTCCTCCAAAAGAGAGCGCTCAACCTTCTCTGTCTATAAGAGCCAGAAAACTTTTCTAGAAAATCTTATTTTTATTATTCATTCATTTATTTGTTTATTTTTTGTCAGTCATGGGGCTTGAACTCTGGTCTTCGGCACTGTCCCTGCACTCTTCAGCTCAAGGTGAGCACTCTACCTCTTGAGCCACAGTGCCACTTCTGGTTTTCTAGAGATAAGAGTCTCATGGACTTTCCTGCCCGGACTGGCTTTGAACTGCCATCCTCAGATCTCAGCCTCCTAAGTAGCTAGGATTATAGGCATGAGCCACTGGCACCCAACTTAGAAAAGTATTTTTATATGGAGAAATGAAGATAATTATAGAAGTAGAAGTCAAGAAGTAACCAAATCAGATAGAGGAGGGAGCTTTTGCAAAAATACAGCTGTGTGATTCAACTTGTCCTATTGAAGTAAGTATAAAAGGTTCAGCTGAGCTCGAATCTAAAGTGCTGAAGAAATTTGGAAGATGTGGCAAGATTTCAAGATCCCAAGCATTGTTCACAGACTTCGTGTGCTGGGTACAGAGTATTAGTCATGACCATGCTGGTGGCTATGTGTCAGACAGCCAAAGAAGTAAGAGCCCGGTAGACCTGTGATAAGAACCTTGCATTATTCTAGGAAATAGATAGGGCCTATACTGAGTATATGCTATGAGATAGGAAAGAAGAGGGTGAATTGGATGAGCATATGTGCATGGGTCTTGATGCATCTCCATGGCTAAAGACATAAAGTACACAACCCCTTCCCGATTAAGCCCATGTCTAATGATGATGCAGGTGTACAGTGAGTGCACAGGAGCCCACACCTTAGGATAATTCCATAGGCCCTCGAAGGTTCAGAGCTTCCTGTGGAGACAGGGAAGGTCATTGCTGATCCTCCTCCCAAATTTGTTTTCTGATAGACTATGACATATATATATATATATATATATGTGTATATATATATATATATATACACACACACACACACACACACATATATATATATATGTATATATATATATATATCAGAACAGGGGGTCTAGAATTGTTGTTCCAACTACTAAGTGGAACTACAGTGAGCCCAGAATATTGGCATGGAAAGGTGAGGAGACAATAAATGAATTCTTTGTGTTTGAGTTTCCCATTGTATAGAAACTCGATGGGTGAGAAACAGAGAAGCCATTTTGAGAGGTCAAATTGGGAGTCTCTGTTGGAGAGCCAGCAACTACAGGTGGACTCCTGTCTTAAAGAGCTGCAGCTGCCTCCAATACACTTAACACTGTTAGAAAACTGAGCTGTGAGCGTAAGAAAGTAAGGAAAGAGCAGAAAAACAATCCCAACCAGCCATATCAGCTGAAGTGGGATGCCATGGTAACTGGAGGAGAACCAGGGGACACGAGGCATTGTAAAATGGTGCTTGAGCTGGTCCGAGCCTAAATAGGGTTAAAGCACGGGTCAGGGTCACAGGAGCTTGAGGGTCTTGAGAGTTCAAGGCACAGGACTGACAGGTCCAGTAACCTATTGTCCAAGTCCCCACCCCTGCCTCTAGGAATTCAGGCATGCTCATCACCTGGGAGTGGTACTTCACCTTCCTCCACCCTCAAGACAAGATGGCACCAGTTGAACTCAATTCCCTACCATCCACTATGCGACCAAGATGGCGCTGGTTAGATCCAGTATCCTTATTTCACCATGAGTTGGAATCAGTTTGCAATGTCCAAGTGGACATTTTTGATTTTTGTCAGTATATAAGTTATGAAAGAGTTATGATAATGGACAGGAAAGCTGAGAGGAAAGAAAACAATACGAAGGGAAACAAGAGACAGAGGGAAAATACTCAAAAAAATCTAGCAGATAGGCAGAATACAATTGAATGGGATGGTTCAACAAGAAATGTACTCATTACCTTACTCACGTAACTGTAACCCCTCTGTACAGCATCTTTACAATAAAATAAAAATTTAACAAAAGATTGGAGGGAATTTCTACACAGAGGAGACTATTGATAAAGTGTTCATGAGAAGCAGACAATGAAACTCACGAAAAACTTTTTTTTAAGGAAAAATTAGATGCGATAGAGCCACAAAAATAATTGAGCAACAATAACAAAAAGAATGCCAGGCTTCTTTGCAGACAAAAGCAGGTAGAAAATGAAATGAGCTGGATTCTCTCTTTCTGAACAGTCTCCTGGTCCTGTGGCTTTCTTGCTGAAATAATCAGAGCTTCTATGACAAGAAGTCAAAGCACCTGGTGAAGCCTTTAGCTTGGATCTGAGCCAGACTTTTACCCTCTGGCAATCCTAGATTAACTGTTGTGGACTTTACTTGCTCCAAGGAGGGTCCTCACAGAAGAAGAACAGGGATTAGTCACTGGCTAGAAAGGGGATATCTCTAAGCTCCTAGCTTTGGCCCCATTTTTGACAGAGAGAATTATTTTTTTAATTCAGTATATCCAGATATTAATGTAAATCTACCCACTCTTGTAGATTAAATTTATCTGAGCAGAAAACAAAGTGTAAGAGAGTAGATGGAGGATTGGTGGCTTTTATAGATCACATTCTCTACTACTTCCTCTTCTGAGTTAGAGTTAAGGAAATGTACTTAGGGTGACGTTTTAGAAAACAAGACAATTTGTTCTTATGTACACATAAATAAGTACTGAGCTTGATCGGAGCTCAAAGGAGCCGAGAAGGGGCAGACAGGATAAGGGGCTGTCAGCAGTAACTGAATGGAGATGAGAATGTTGCATAATGGGTGGAGAACTATTATTAAAAAGACCTATGAAAGTCTACACTGTATTTGATCTCATAGGAAATGGTTTAGCATTCAGAAGTCAATGTACTTCATTAGAAGAGTGATGAGAAGTAATCATTTGACTCTATCAATATGGGCAGAGAAACATTTTATAATGTGTTACCAGTATTCTAGACAAGTGCTTTCCCAATGTGATAAAAGTTATTCACAAAATTTTTATATCAAACAGCCTATTTAATAGCGAATGTGGAATACTTTCCTCCTGTAAGAAGGAAGAAGCAAAGAAGAAACTGATATTTCAGAGGATAGCTATTCAACATTGTGCTGGAGATTTCAACCAGTGTGATAAAACCTGAAATAGAAATAAATTTTAAGATAAGAAGGACGAGTAAAAGCACTGGTTACAGATTACATGGCTGTTATAGAAAACCCTAAGGAATTTCTGAATAACAACTGTTAGTAATTAGAGAATGTAATTAGAGGATTTTTTAAACTAATTCATTGCAAGTAATTGAAAAACTGCAAAAAAAATTAGCAGTTTCAATGGTATCAATAATGAATCACTGAGAAATAAGTTTGAGCCAAATGTTCAGCTAGCTTCAGTGATTTTCTGTCACTTCTAACCTGCAGCATCCCCTGCTTCCTGAGTTGGTTCTGTGATGGGTTTGTGCACTGGGGGAAGGAACACTGCAGTGTTGTGAACTGACCACTAGCACATGGGTGCAGGGCTGAGTCTCCTGGTTCAGAGGAAGTGACTTCCAGGCTGCAGGGGAATTGGAGGATGGGGCATTTAGCGGAGAACTTATTCTTGGCCATGTCTGTTTGTTCAAGAATTGGCTGACTTTAAGCCAGGTGTCAATGGATCAAGCCTGTCTGTATTCCTCCCTACTCAGGAAGCTGAGTTCTGAAGATCCCTGTTCAAAGCCAGTTCAAATCCCAGGTCTCCCCACCCACAACAACCCCCCCCCCACACACACACACACACACAAAACAATTTGCTGACTTTGGAAAGAAATCAACAGCTGAATGTCTTTATTCTGGTACTGCCGATACCAACAACAACAACAAAAAACTTTGGGGGGTGCAATCATCTTGGTTTTCTGTTCTTTCCCTTGGACGAGATGTCTTGGAATCTGTATAACTTGGGCATCCAAAAAGCCTAGAAGAAAAGAAAACAAACTAAAGACAAAAACCATGAAAGATACTGACTAGGAATAATAATAATAATAATAAAGCTTGGGTCTTTGATTGGAAAGCCCAAGACACAGAAATTCTTCTTGTGCTGTTCCCGAGAGACAGACATCTACACAGCAGAAGAGGCTGGACACAAGGCCAGGAGAGGTAGCAAAAGGGTGATGTGTTTTCATTCCCCATCAGCAAGCTCCCTATGATATGATCTCTTTCCAAACACATTATCTTAAAAGACTCATCATTTTATCAAAAGGGAAATGTTTACCCAGAGTAAACATCAGTAGTTGATGTTTTAAAAGTTTTCTGTATCAATTTTCACAATGCATAGCCATTGAGTATATATTTTAGAGAGTCCTAAAATAGATACAATTTATTCATAAATACAAAAATATAACAAATTAAAACCTTGTGTTACTGCTGGTCAATGATTACACAGTTAATGCCTTAGAGATATTCTTTCTAAGTCCCCCCGCTCTGTGTTTTTATCTGTCTCTTTCTCATTTCCTGTCAAATTCTTTCATTTCCTGCTTAAACTGTCATGTGTATCTTTATGTTAATCACTGCTAATGTCTGAGGAGAGAGTGAGAGAGAAAGTAGACTGTCTCGAATATACTCACACTGCTAAATTGGCAATCAACTACAGCTCTGGGTATGTCTCATAGACACAGGTATGGGGGGAACTTGATGCCCTTGTGTGGGATACGTCAGGCTTATAATTTTGAAATACCTGTGGTGGTATTTAGATATGTAAAGCTATCATTGTCTCAAATCACTAAAAAGTGGTTATGCAGATCCATGATGGACTGTGTGTTTTAGTGTTGACAAGAACTGGAGGAAAGTGTGTGTGTGTGTGTGTGTTCTCTGAGAAACTGGATAAGGAGTACTGCATGAACAGACACAGGAGTTTTCCACTCACTTTAAGAGGAAAATCTAAGATGCAGATTGTATCAATAATCTACTCTCATCAATGTAATTTTATGTACACAGTAAGAGTCAAGTGCTGCATGAGGACCATGGTTGGATCATTACTCATCTGGGCTTTCTATTGAGGTTTTAAACCGAGGGGGTAGAAAGATCAGTCTGCTCTTCATGAATACAGTGGTCCCGTGCCAATGGGATTGATGTTCTTTGTTGAAACTCTTACTCTCACCCTGAGAGCTACATGAAAGGAGATGACTTAAAACATCATCCAGCCTTGTATGAAGACTCCCTGTGGCTTGCTCCAGCACCAGTTAACTGCTATCACGACCGGTGAAGCACACCACTGGCTTCCTGAGTCAGTGTGTGATGGGTTTGTGCACTGGGGGAAAGGAACACTGTGATGCTGTGGCCTGGCTGCTGGCACACAGGTACAGGGCTGTATCTCCTAGGTCACAGGATGGGATTTCCAGGTTGCAAGGGGACTCGGAGGGACATGTAGCTGAGACTCGCCCCTTGGCTATGTCTGTTTCTTTCAGAAGTTGACTATTCTGAAAGTATACCAACAACTTAACCTCTTGCTTCTTGTTTTGTTGATACCAATGAACATAAGCATGTCCTTGTATGGGGTTACAATCCATCTTTGCTCTTTGTCCTTTCTCTTTGACCAGATGTCTTGGGGTCTGAGTAACTTTGGCATCCAAAGAACCTGGAAGAGAAGAAGACAAAGGACAAAACATATGAGGTGATACAAGGCAAAGCGCTCGTTTCTGGGGTTTGCAATGCTTAGGAGAAAGGTTCCTCTTTTGTGCTCAGGACTCACCTGCCCCCAAGAGACAAAGGGTTACACAACAGAGGAGCCCGGAGCCCATGGTCACACTGAAGTAACAAAAGGATGATGCGTTCTCATTTCTCAACACCAAGCTTCCTGTGACGTGATAGTTGGTAGATTCAAAATCTCCATATTACTGCTTCATGCTGCTGGCCAAAACAGATGCCAAGGAAAAAGATTCGGTGCCAAAAGAACAAAACCTATAACTGTTTAACATTTTATTTATTTATTTAAAAGCAATATCTATATATACATATAACAATATACACATACAAAGTGATAAAATAAGCATGACTGATATTTTATTAATTTTAACATATCTTGTGTTTTCACTAAAATTAACTGTACACACATATTTTTGACAGCTATAAAATTTAGTACTGAAGTAAAAATTTCATAGTACGCTGGTCAGTGATCTCATTTTCAGAACTCTCTCTTGTTCTGTGTGTGTGTGTGTGTGTGTGTGTGTGTGTGTGTGTGTGTGTGTGTGTATCTCTGTTTTCACCTGCATCTCTATGGTAAATACTGATAATATCTTAAGAGAAAGAGACAGAAGTTGGCCAGGAGAGATAGAGAGAGAAGGAAGTAAGGAGAGAGAAAGTGTGTTAATCTATTTAAAGTAATATAGTGAGAAAAATTTAGACCTCCAGAATATATCGTAAGAAGGTATAGTTACAGTAAAGAGGCTTAGATATTTTTATGTGAAACTATAGGTTTACAAAGCAAATTGGAAGAGTCCACCAGTGCTATATAGATACATAACATACAAATATAGTCATCCACATCTCAACAGTGACGTTGCTGAGTGTACAAACCTGGGAAGTGAGCATATGGACTCATGAAGGAATAAGTACCAGTGTGCCAGTGCTGTCAAGATTCTGGGAACAATTGTACGTGTTTTCAGAAGTGTTTACAGAGAACTAACTGTGCATCATTTGGAAGTGAGCCCCGATGGAAGGCTGAAAAATGGAAAGCTTCGTTCATTTTGAACTGAGTGGAGAATTCTCAGAGGGACGATTGCATCTAAACCAATACTCGTGTGATTGTTTTGAACACATGCATACACAGGTACAGGCAGGTGTTTGATGAGGTCACAGTTCATCATTCTTTCTCTGGAGATTTTAAACCCAGTCATCAAGACAGCCAGCATAGTCTTCTGAGTATGGTGGACCAAAGCCAACCAAGTTAATGATCTTTGATAGCCATCTTATTCTCACCCCAAGAGCTGGGCAGAAAGGAGAAAGATGGTTTACATACAGAGACAAGAATGAAGCAGACAACTAGGGGGAAAAATGAGAGGACAGCCACGCCAGCCTTGGGCTTACCACTTTTGACTTCTAGACTCCCCATAGCCTGCTGTGAAATTCCACCATGCTGCAGTCAATTCCACCAGCTACAGTTAATTTCTGTTGCTTCCCACCAACCCGCTGAGTCCTCTGCTTCCTGAATCGGGTTGGTGGTGGGTTTATGCACTGAGGGGACGGAAGCTTACAGGGCTGTGGATTGACTGCTGGCACACAGATACAGTGCTGAATCTCCTGGTTCAGGTGACGGCACTGTCAGGCTACAGAGGGATTTGGGGGGACATTCAGCTGAGAATTGTCCCTTGGCTATATCTGTTACTTCAAGGACGTTTTTGTTCAGAAGGTAAAATAACAACTGAATCTCTTTGTTCTGGTTTTGTTGATACCAGTAAAGAGCAGTATGTCCTTGTTTGGGGGTACATTCCATCTTTGCTGCCCGGCCTTTTCCTTTAACCAGATGTCTTGGAGTCTGTATAACTTCAGCATCCAAAGGGCCTGGAAGAAAAGGAAAGAGGAGACTGCTCAGGAGGGAGAGTGACAAGGAACAAAGCTTGGGCCTATGGCTGGCAAGTCCAGGGCAAAGTTCTTCCTTTTGTGCTCAGGACTCACCTGCCGCCAGGAGACAAAGGGACACACAGCAGAGAAGCCTGGGGCCCATGGTGGCACCAACAGCAGGAGGGTGAGGTGGTTCACTTCCCCATCAGCCTGCTTCCTGTGAGGCGAGCCCTTTAACCACCGTCACCGTCACCCTGCTGCACATTACAGGAAGGACACGTCCCGACATTAGAAGGATGCTTTTATCCTTACTGACTCAACATCACTGGCTGAAGTCGCATTCATTTAAAAGCATTTCATATCTACTTTAACTGTAATAGACATAGTCCTTGTGGATAATAATCACATAGTTAATGCTTTAGTGACAATCTTTCAAGATCCTTACACACACACACACACACACACACACACACACACACACACACTATCTGAGCGATGCCAATGGAAGGCACTCTACCGCAGCTCAGTATGCAAAGCACACCATTGCTACAAGAATATATCACTGCTGGTATTTCAAATAGTGAGACCAAGACTCAGAGAGAGCCAGTTCTCTTTATATCACTTCTAAATGGACAAGTGCCCACAAGGAAGAGATGAAATCTCCTATTTCCTGGTTGGAGTCAAATTCAGAATGTCACATACCTCTGTGCTAGCTAGGAAGAGTTAGGAAAAGAAACACCTGAAACTGTCAGTGTTCATGGACTGTCCTGCTTCACTGATGAGTATTGTTGAGATGAGGATGCTCCAAACACAGGAAGGAGTTCAGATGTGAAGTTGTTTGATAAAATGTATTTGCTCCACCATTTGTATTTACTCAAGGCCATTCACATAATGGAGATGACATAGGACTACTTCTGTGGTTTTAGCAAAGGACCTCGGCTACCCTTTGTAGAATAGAGCCAGGGTTTGGATGACAGCAAAACCCGAACCTCACTCTTCTGTCTACCAGCTATGTAACCTTGAGGAAACTGCTTATCCTCACTTTGATTTTACTTTCTCATCTGCAAAGTGAGTAATGAGGTTTTCTCAAATGACAGATGGATGGACAGATAGGTAGATAGATAGATAGATAGATAGATAGATAGATAGATAGATAGATAGATAGATAGATAGATGGATAGATAGATAGATAGATAGATAGAAAGACAGACAGACAGACAGACAGGACAGACAGAGAGACAGACAGATAGATATGTAGATTAGAGAGAGAGAATTTATAATAATTCTTAACACACAGAAACATTTATTGACACAGGATTGCACCTATTAAAATATTTCCAAGCACTAAGAATTTGCATGAGTGTTGAATTCATTGCATAAAATGAGTTCTTCTCAAGTCTTGAGACACCTAAAAATAAGGACGTACGTTAAATGTTTCTTAACAAGTGATATATTTTAGATAGATGTTGTTATTTTATGCCTTGTCTCTGATTATCTGTAATAGAAGATACTTTCACGGTAAACGTTTAGTTGGAATCTGATGGCTTGGTAACTGATACTGTCTTTTCCTGGAAGAAAGGCAGAAGGTAGAGAGAAAAAGCTGGAGACAAGGAAGGAAAAAGGGAAGGAGAGAGGTAGAGAGAGACAGAGAGACAGAATGGGAGGGAATGATGTAGAGTGGCAATTATTAAGTGAACCCTGTGGGTAAACTCTGAGAAAGGATGCTAACTGCATGGTGGTTTCCCAGGTTTTCATTCAGGCCTCCGGTTCTCAGTTACACCTGCAAAATTAAGATTTCCTTCTTTGTTTGTTTTTTTTTGGGGGGGGGTGTCTAGTCATGGGGCCTGAACTCTGGGTCTGGGCGCTGTCCCTCAGCTCTTCAGCTCAAGGCTAGCGCTCTACCACTTGAGCCACAGCACCACTTCTGGCTTTTTTCTTTTTGCTTATGTGGAATTGAACCCAGGGCCTCATGCATGCAAGGCAAGTGCTCTACCATTGAGCCACCTTCCCAACCCCAGGATCTCCTTCTTTGTGCAGGCACTATCCACTTTTTTTTTTTTTTTACCATGACTTCACTTGTCAGTTTGATAAATGCCAAGGACCTTCTTTTTCAGACTAATATTTTGCAAGTATAAACTAGAAAATATTATAAAAAGAAAGCTATCTTGAAGTAAAGATATCAAAATATTACTTTAAAAGTCTGATGTATTCATACATCCATACGTATCTTTTAAAGCTGAATAAACAGAATATAGCCTGATACATCTGAAAACTGCAATTCAAAGTAGTGATGATAATAAATGACATTTACTCTATATGATGTAAATGAAATGAGGTTCATATAGCTGTAATGTGTGCAATGTGTATGCAAATATCTATGATTTATATTATTGATTCTGTCACAGATATTACTAGATCTATTATTATTACGTACTATATTTACCATGGAGGGAAAGGATTCATTCTCAGTTAGAGATTACTAAAAATAAAGATGCAGTTTTTCTATTTAAATTGGTGGATTCCCTGAATCTCTGTCTGCATCACTTGGCAATCCTGGAATCACAGATGAATATTTTCTCCCTCAAAAGAGAATAAGCCCCATGCTGAAATCCACAAAGAGGAAGTGTTAGGAAGTTCACAGATCCTTAAAAATGCTTTGCCCCTAGTGTGAATGTTAGATTGGTCAAAGATGTCAGAGGAAGATGACTTAAACTGATCACTGGTTTGAAGACTTAATCATGACAGATACTTACCTCGACTGTATTCTGGTTTTGGAAACATAGACTTTTCATAATTTTTCTTCCTGTATAGAAATACATAACATAATATAGTATAATATATAACTTCTCTAGTTAGATGATAGATAGATGACAAATAATAGATAAAATAGAGAAACATAGACGATGGATAGTAGATAGATGATAGATAGATAGATAGATAAATAGATGATAGATAGATTCCCTCCATTGTCCTCATTATTGATACCATAACATCACTACCACCACCAGCACCATTCATTATCCTCAGGTCCATGTGATAACAAAGGGCCATTTATGAAGTACTAGCATCTTTTTTGCATGAAAGATGTAAATAGTATACCAAGAAATTCTGTAATAAACAATAACTTCCCCAAAATAGAACCAAGAAAAATAACAACAAATGATCCCTTGCAATTATATGTGCTAACACTTCTGAAATGCCTCTGATCTCCAACATATGGTATGGCAATATAAACACTATTCTTGACAGAATGGTATGCAACTCTATAGAATTCATGATTCCTGTGCTGGGCAGCCATGGTGGCTCATGTGTGCAATCCTAGCTACTCAGGTGGTGGAAATTAGGAGGCCTGTATTTCAAGGTCAACCAGGGCAAAAAGTTCGTGAGACCCTTCTGACCCAGTAAGAGTTTGAAGTGATGGCACTCATTCATTATCTCAGCCACATGGGAAGAGTAGAAGGTTTGTGGTTCAGGCTAGCCTGAGCATAAATGAGAAATCTAATTTCAAAAATAACTGAAAAAACGAAAGGATTGGGGTCATGGTTCAAGCATTAGAACAACTGCCTACCAAATGCAAGGCCCTGAGTTCAAACCCACTACTACCAAAGGGGGGTGGGGTTGGATATCCTTGCTTTGTTCATTGTTAGGGAGTGTCATACTCTAAGGAGAACTCTAAGGAGTGGATCATGAAGAAGTTTATCTTGTTTAACAGATTTTTTTTCTCTAATATTATAGGAGATTTCATAGTTAACTGTCATATCATACCTCTAGTGTGGTAGTTATCCACCTGAATTCCTGTGGACTTTATTTAAGTGAATTTTCAGAGCAGTTGCAAATTCACACAAAACCCAAGTAGGAACTCCAGTTCCTTGGCAGCCTCATGTTCCACAAGCACAACCTACCCCCTGCTGACATCCTATGTGGTGGAACTACAATCCTGACAAACGGTGCCCTCTAGAGGAACACACAGGTAATGCATAGATGTGACCAACCAGAGCAGCAACACCAAATTATCCCCTTCAGATCATGTGCTTAAATGTAAAACATGCCCTTACTTTTAATTTTAATCAATCAATCAATCAATTAATTAATTAATGGCTCAACTGGTAGACTACCAACTATGAGCAATTTTGTTTTCCTAACAAATGTGCGTGCTTTGAAAGGGAACTTGAGGAAATTTTGTTTTTATTTATTTAAGTTTTATTTTAAAGATGATGTACAGAGGGGTTACAGTTACATGAGTCAGGTAATGAGTACATTTCTTTTTTAACAGTTTTACCTGCTCCCTCATTTTCTCCCCGTTTTCCCCCCTCCCAAACCTCCTCCCTCCCGAGTTGTGTAGTTCATTTCCCACATTCCACTATGTTTTCCTGAGCATACTTTACCTCTGACTGAGCAGTGCTAACACTTGGTTGGTGTGAGGAATAGCTCATGTCATAAGCTCTCCTGGGACCACTGGCTATCCCTGGCTTTCTGGAGTTTCTGAGGGTTTTTTTTGTTGTTTGTTTGTTTTGTTTGTTTGTTTTTTGTTTTGTTGGTCATGGGCCTGAAATCTGAGCCTGGGTGCTGTCCGAAATCTGAGCCTGGGTGCTGTCCGTCAGCTCTTCAGCTCAAGGCTAGTGCTCTACCACTTGAGCCACAGCACCACTTCCGGCTTTTTTTTTCTGCTTATGTGGTGCTGAGGAATCAAACCCAGGGCCTCATGCATGCAAGACAAGCACTCTACCACTGAGCCACCTTCCCAGCCCCTGGAGATGCTATTTTTATGTAATATGCTGAGATAGAGGCATCAATTATGAAGTGCAAAGATAATGTTGCATAGAGTTCATGGGAAATCTTTGCAGAAAGATTCAATGTATCAAGAAGGTTCAATGTATAAATTCCTTATGGGTGTTAAAAGTACAATTGTAATAATGTGGTTTAAATTAAATTTAGAAAAATATGAACAGATTAGGTGGAAGATCTATGTAATAGAAATGACAAGCCCATGCTGAGAAAAATCTGCAGACTTCAAACAAAGCTATAGGGGAGCTGGAGGAGAAACTGAAGCTGTTCTGTATCGTGATTGTCATGGAGATTCCATGCGTGCCAAATTCACCAAATTCTATTGAAATCTACACTCCTATGGGTGATATGTTACACGTGTTTGTATATCAATAAAGTTTTTTTTTAATTGTATGATTTAGAATTCCAGAGGGCAGGAGTGGGATGAGCTTCTAGAACGTTTTTATGGCAGGGTGGACTATGAAAAGCTCTCATCGTGTATCTCTGAGCATCCTTGGCTCCCATTCCTGGAAATATGTTGGAGCAGATGATCAAGGTCCAGGTGAAAGGCACCATTATCTGCTTGTCCTGCCATTCTGTAACGCAGAGATTTACCAAGAGAAAAACACTGGGTTTCATATTTTTATGAAGTTGGTTAGAAATTCATCATGGCCATTTACAGAGACAAGGGTGGGGGGAAAGAGAAAGAGAGAGGGAGAGAGAGAGAGAGAGAGAGAGATCTTGATCATCTTTGCCTAATCCTCAGCACAATGGGGAGTGTGGGCCCTCTTTTGTTTTTCTCTTCTTTCTCTTCCCTTTCTTACATAACCACTCCTTTTCCCGAGCAGGCTCTCCATAATGAGATAATGCATTTGTGTTCTAAGAAAAGCCACCATTCAGCACTGTGTACTGCTGGCACAGAAATACAGCGCTGAATCGGCTGGCTCAGCGGACTGAATTTCCACCGTACAGGGTTTGTTTTGGGGGCACTGAGGTGAAAATCTCTCGCCAAGCACTTCTGTTTTCTCCATGATATCCTCTTTATAAAGGTAACCGAGAAACTTGAGTTCCTCATTTGGTTTCTGACGATACCAATAAACATAATCATGTCCCTTGATAGGGACACACTTTAGCTTTGCTTTCTGCTCTTTTCCTCTGATCAGATATCGAGGTCTCTGGATGACTTCGGCGCCCGTGGAGCCTGTGGAGGAAAAGAAAGTGCTGGAAAATAAAAGGCCAGAGGTAATTTGGTATTTCAAATACAAAAGAATGTGCTAAAACTGGAATCCAACCAGCAGGACTTACCTGCTTCCAGGAAAAAAAGGGCCACGGAGCAGAGAAGCCTGAGACCCATGGTGTGTTCAGGGAGAGAGAAAGCAGTGGCAGGCAGCCTCCCACCCTCCTCAGATGACCTTCTTGTCACATGATCACTTCCCTTCGCCTCTCCCCAGCCCTCACAGGACATGGCATCACATAGGATGTGGGAGGTCAGGAGCTGTCTTCCCTGGAAAAAGAACAGGGGTTAGTTTCAGCTTGCACATATTTTTTTTTTATCTTCTTCTGAGACTCTTGCCGTTCTTATTTCTTTGTTTAGTTTTGTTTGCACCACTGGAATTTGAACTCAGAGCACTTGTAGTCAGGCTCTCTGCCACTTGAGCTACATACCTAACCATTTTTGCTTTATTTTTTTTTAAAGACTATTGTCATTATGTAGGAGTTACAGTTACGTAAGTCAAGTAATGAGTACATTTCTTTTTGGGCATTGCCACCCCTTCCCTCGCTCTCTCATAGCTGTTTTTAGTTATTTTTCAGGTAGGATATTTTTATCCTGCTGGCCTTCAATTTGAGATCTTTCTGCCTACAGCTTCCCAAATAGTGTATTGATTGAGATGAACTCTAGGTAATTTTTTTGTGTCAGTTGTGGGGCTTGAACTCTGGGCTTAGGCGCTATCCCTCAGCTCTTCAGCTCAAGGCAAGCACTGTACTGCTTGAGCCACAGCGTCACTTCTGGTTTTCTAGTGGTTTATTGGAGATAAGAGTCTCACAGATTTTCTGCCTGGGCTGGCTTTGAACCGCAATACTCAGATCTCAGCCTCCGGAGTAGCTAGGATTACAGGCGTGAGCCACCAGTGCCCAGCATGTAAATAATTTTTCCCCCCTGGGCTGGGCTCAAATTATGAGCTTCCTTATTTCTGCCTCCCACATATCTGGAAGTACAAGTGTGAGCCACTCTGCTCAGCCTTTTTACAGTGTTGTAAAGACACACATTATTTACGTATTTGCTTCTTAAAGCTGTCAAGTGGCCTCTTCCTTTCCATCAGCTCTTGAATCATACCACTCTATATATTACTCATATAGACAAGCATAATTCTAAACAATTCAATCTCACTAATATCTAGCATTTCAAAGTTTTTGCCATAGTCAGAGCATCACATGGTTACTCTAAAGAATGAAATGTAAGACTGTACAAAAGTATCTATGGAAATATGTAATGGGTAGGGAGAAATAAAGAAATAACGAATAGGGAGAAATAATGAGGTCTTTGTGCCAATCAATCAATGTGAGATGGAATCCACCTGAGAATTTTCTGTTCCATGTTCCTCTTTCAGGTTGATCATTCTCTCTCATAGCCAGGCAGTGGCAACTCTGACAGATTTCATTTTCACATTCTTTTCATCATAGCCTTTACCAGTTTTGTGTGAATCTGTAAACTATATACCACTTAATGTTGTATGGTGCTTAAGGGAAATCATTCTGTCAACATTTTCCTATGATGTTATTCTTTTCATCGTAATTTATGATGACACATAATTCTAGACAATTTGCTTTTATTAGTATTTAATACTCTTCATATTCATTTACTTTAATTTATTGTTCTTAATTTCATATTCCTCCACCCTTCATTTTCTGTGCTACTGAAAACCTAATTGAGTTCTTGAGTCTCTGGCAGAGAAGCTAGCTTCTTTCTCCCATGCACCTTGTGTTATATTGAATACACAAATGGCATTGGTGAAACTGGAAAGATTCTTGTTATTGGGTTCATTTATTCTTGATTGTAGTGTATATCTTCACGGATCTCATATTTCCAAAATGCATTCTTCTAAAGCATAAATAATTTATCAGCATTCAGATTTTGTTCTTTCCTCTAAGAGATTCATTTCAAGGGTTTTACATTTCATATTTTGTGTTATTGCTTATAAACAATCTTCTATGTGTATGTTTAAGCAATAACTGTTGCTAATATGTGTAAATAAAACTATTTTAAATGTATGTTATATCCTGTGTCTTGCTATGTTTACTAAATTCGTCTATCAGTTATGAAATGCTTCTCTGGATGTTTTTGTTTTTTCAAATTCATCACCTGTCAAAAGTTACTTCCCTTTGTTTCTTCCTCATGATCACCTCTTATACTTTTTCTCTATCTGTAGATGCAGTGTGGTGTGTAATAGAAATGATGGTGTCCTTTATTTACTCACGTGTCCCTCTAGTGGTCAAAAGGGGAAAATTCACCGATACCTACTGTTTCTCCATGCCATTACCTTGGTGAGGTAGAGTTCCATTTCCACCATTCAACACAGTAGGAAGAAACCTCAAGTGCCAGAGAGAAAATAGGGAAGACACAGCACTCGATGTGGTAGCTTGGTTCATATTCCATAGAATTCTTACTAGTAGTTACACCATCACATTCACTGCTCACGTTTTGTTTTGTTTCCAAATCTCTTAAGCCTGTGACACTCCTGTGGCACTTGTCCGCCAGGTGACATCCTCATCATCATTCAAGTTTTTAGCTAACTTTGAACTTTTTCCTAACTTCTTTCTGCCCTTCCTGATGCCACCAGGTAGAACTGTTCTCCAACACAGTTCTCTAACACCTGTAATGGATGGTATTGTACCTGTTACTCCATGTGTGTGTGTGTGTGTGTGTGTGTGTGTGTGTGTGTGTGTGTGTGTGTATGTGTGTGTGTGTTTCAAGGTGTTCTGTAAAATAGAATAGAGCTTGGGCTATAGAAGAACCTCTCCCTTCCCGCTGTGTGCCTCCTCTTTTTTTGACTTGTTCTCATACATGTGTGTAGGTGCACTTTTTAAAAGCCTGACTAATGAGTAAGTAAAGTTTATCAGCACCCTACATAGTGTACTGGTGCCAGCAGCTATTTTGCTTTCAATGTCTGGCTGAGGGGGAAGGAAAGGCAAGGCAGGCACCGAGAGGCTGGAGGGGGAAGCAGGGAGTGTGAACATTTATGCCCAGAGAGGTGGTGGCTGTGTTCCACTGTGCCCTACTGCTGGCACAAAAGTAAAGAGCGGTCTGATTCTTTTGGGCCAAAGTCACAGTGAGAGGGAAAAGTGGCTTTTTCTCTCGAGAGACATGGTAGCCTTCAGCTAGATCTCCCTTTTGGATCGCCTTTACAACTTGGGAATAGTAGATCAGTCTCAAGCCATGTCCTGGGTCCTGTCTGTACCAGTACATGGAGTCATGATCCAAATTCTGTTCACATTTCAGAGTTGCACTCTGTTCTTCCTTTCTGAGCAGAAATCTTGGTGTCTGAATGATGCCACACTCCACAGTGCCTAAGGAAGAATGAGAAAGAGTCTGGAAATAACCCAGGAGGGCAGTTGATGGGGAAAAGGTAGATGCGCATCTTTAGGACAGGACCTTGCCTCCTAAACCCAAGACTCACCTACTCCAAGGAGACAAAGGGCCACCTGACACAGGACCCGGATGCTCATAGTGGAAAGGGGATTTCTTTGGCTCCAAGAACTGCTGGAAGAGAAACAGAAAAAGAAGGCTGGCTCGGAGGCTCGTGCTGGTGTAACCCGGGAAGACAGGAAGAGGAAGAGGCTAGTTTTGTAGGCTGGCTCTATGCAGATGTACTGGCACCTCTCATTTGTGCTGCAAGAGCACTGAGAAGCCGTTCTCTGGTGGAGCTCCCTCTGCTTACTTACTTTTACCTTTCCCATGACAGTAGTGTTTTAAGCACTCTACATCTTTTTTGTTTTGCTTCTTAACTCCCCCCTGCTGCCCCCTGTGGGTAGGAAGAAGTAGAATCACCTGAAATAATTTCATACAAGGTAGTACCATAGCTTACCCTCCAGACTAGTGATGTTGAACCTGTTATCTGTGCCTTTTGAAATGACTTTGTATCGGTCTGCCTACTGACCTTCAGAAATGGTCTCATAAAATCAAATGATAAGCCATTTTTCTGTAGGTGTCAACATTTATCAAATGATGAGAATAAGATGATGAGTTCAGGTGACATATTGCCGATGAGCAATATCTGTGGATTGGATCTTTCTCTTACACTCGAAACAATTATCCTACTCTAATTCTACCATCTCCCAGATGTTCTGATTCTGTAGGAGTTCTCTATCTTGGTATCCATCCAGGTCTGCAGATGTACTAGGCAAGGAACAAAACAAGGATTGTGCCGGAAAGACACCAGGCATCAGGAAGTGATGTCGGAAAATACTGTTTCTACTTGCTCGAATCTGGGTTGGGATCATATCTCTGTCTCCTACTGGCTTACTATTCTCTCTTTCCCTCCTTCCTTCTCTCCCTCCATTCCTTCCTTCTTTTGTTTTGTTTATCCCCTTGGGGGGGAACATTTGGAGACCATAGCTTTTCATGGCAAAATTGAGAAAACACTCTCTTTACCTGTCTTGAAAAAATTAAATCAATTTATATAGTTAAACACATGAACATAGAACTTTATATACAATATGGAGTAAGAGGAAGAGAGTGGTGTTGGTCACTGTGTTTAACCTAGCCTTTATGTCTGATGTTTTAGAAATATTACTCTGAGTGACAGAGTCTTCATGTCTGAACTTAGACTGAAATGTTCCATGATACTCCAACAATCCTCTGCTGTTTTCATTATCAACCTGAAAAAAATGCCCAGGAGATGATATATTACTCACAAGGCTCATGATGCTGTTGGCATCTGGTATGTAACTGCCTGTGGCACTTGGAAAACACTGGTCAAACACCCAATTCAGATCCTTCTAAGGAAAAAAAAATCATTCTCTCCATCATGGTCTAATACCATTAAAAAGAGATTAATCAGAGTCTCTACTTGGTTTGATATTCTTCTTCAAACTCAAAATTAGATCCTCTCCCCAAACACTTCTCTTCTCCAGGGAGCTCTGTGCACAGAAAACGTGTATTTGCTGTTCTTCTTACATGTGACAGATATCTATTGGTTATCCTAATTAAGGAATTTCTCCCTTGAAATCCTTGTCCTATCAGTCAAAAGACAGGCTCTCAGCTTCCATGTTATTTTAAATAACCCCAACCAAGTAACAACCCCAACCTCTTCACTAATGATCAAGTTCCCCAAAAGTGTGTTCTTGGCTATGGGCAGGGTTGGTTTTATTCTACAATCTAGAATGCCAGGGAGTAAAGTTGGTCCTTCTCAATGTAGCTTCAAAGCAATGTTGAGAACTGAGATCAGCATCTATAATGGTTGAATCTAGATGATATCTAAGAAACAGAAATGGAAACCTATAACAAGAGAGAAAATGAAGCCAGAAAGATGGAGAAAGAAATAGAGTTCTCAATTCAGCCACATCACAGTTCTAAGATCAAATTCTCATTTGGTTCTAAGACCTCACCGGGTTCTGTTTCAGACGTCATAATTTAGCCTTACAGTAACTTTTCATTGATCTTAAGATATAACTAGACTTAGAAAATAAGGTTCCTCCCAACCCGTTATCCATCTGCTTCCTGAGCAGAGCCAGTGGTAAGTCTGTGGGCTCAGCTCTGGGCTCAGCTCACATTCAGCACTGTGATATGACTGCTGGCACACAGATACATGGTAGAATCCCGCAGCTCCGAAGCCAGGACCTCCAGGTTACAGTGTGAGTTTTTAATGCACTCAGCTGAAAAATTTCTCCCTGGGATCATCCCTGGATCATCCATGACATCTTCATTCTGGAAGGAAATCAAGACCTTGAGCTTCTTTTCCAGGATGTGTTGATACCACATCACACCCTTGTGTCCTTTTTTAGGGACATAAGACATCTTTACTTTCTGTCCTTTCTCTGTGACCAGGGGCCGGGGAGTCTGAATGGTTTCATCCAGAGAGCCTGCAAAGAAAGTAGATAGAGGTTGGAGACTAAGCTCGGTGAGGAATCTGACAGCCTGGACAAAGACTGAGGGCAGGGGTTGACAACTTCAGAAAAAGAACTTGCCTGCCACCAGGAGACAAAGGACCACAAAGCAGGTGCGTGTCAAGCACCTGGCAGCACTGAAAAGGAATAGAAGAGGATCGCTTTCTTGGAGGTTTTTCTTGCCTCTGATCAAAGGTTTTCTATGACGTGTTCACCTTGTGGAAGCCAACAGTCTTTGATGTCCTTCTCTGTGCAAGAGACAAAATTAGACAAGATAGATGAAACCATCCCTAGTCCACCACTGGAAAATAGGCAGATCTGAGATTCTGTTAAAGCCAGAAAAAGTGGAGTGATGTTTAATATGAGGAAAAGGAGAAACAAAGAACATCAAATTTTAAGTTGAGACAAAACAGAGTTCTAGAAGTTAGAAGGGACCAAAGTGGCTAGGATTTGTGAGGAAGTCTCTCATAGAAGAGGAGGCTACTCGGAGCTCCAGATACCTTTACAGGATCTCCTGACACTCCGTTAAATGGCAATCTATGTCTGTGTCAGAGAACACTTAAAAAGGCTCTGACCCCAGAGAGGATTCATCAGCATGAGTACAAGTGTGGGGCAAAGTCAGGCTGGAGTATGAACAGGCAAAATAGAATCCAAAATAAATAGGTCATCTGAAAAAAGGTGGGAAGGGAGGGAGAGGGGAGGGAGGGAGAGAGACAGGGAGAGAGGGAAAAAGTAAGAAATGGGAAAACTCATGCCACAGGCTGGCCTTCTATTTCTTCAAACAGTTGTATGGAACAGGGGAAGGATTTCTGGAATGGTATCATATAAAGCTCTGAATATATTCTTTCTAGAGGAAATAATGAAACTGCTGAAAACTTAAACGCTGATGTTTGACTCTGAAAATTGTTCTCAAGACATATAGCAAACAGAAGCGTACCTACTCAGGGAAATCTACTCAGTCTTAGAATGAGTACAAAGGAGTCTGCAACACTGAGCCAGGGTCCAGTTCCTCTCCACATGCCCTGAAGCTCAACAGGACAGAAGCTCCACACCAGGTGGGTGTGGTGAAGAACATGGGGTTCTTCCCTCCCAGCTCCCAGGTTAAGGAGCCCTGCCATTTCTTCCTTGGCCTCCCTTCTAAACTCTGTTCTGCCACTGAAAGTAAACTGTCTGCATTTTGATTCTGGTTCCTTTACAAGCAAGGCGCATGATAAACAAGTAGCTTTACTTGTCTGTGACTCAGTTTCCTTATCTGTAAAATGGGTGAGATTACAGGGACATGGTAAAACAAACTACAAATACAGGTGAGGAAAACGTATTTTATAGTATATAAAAATGATTGGTAAAGGTTAGCTATAATCATTAATAGCATTAAAACAATGAAATAATTTACAAAAGCTCTCTTGTAATAAATCTTGTCATATTCTTCCTAGATTGTCTCTATTTATTTTTTGTCTCTATTTAACCTAACACTCAGAGTATTTTTTTTCTTTAATTTGGAATGTAGTTCTGACACAGGAATATTGAATATTGACTCTGAGAGGAGGGAAAAAACAAAATGCTGAAATAAGGATACAGGTTGACCCATTGTAACAGTGAGATGTACAAGACACTATATTGAAAACGAACTTTACAACTTCAGGGGGGCAGGGGAGGAAAGAGTCGGGGAGGTAGGGAGGGAAGGGATGGATGATAGGAGAAAATCAAAGGAGGAGGTAACAATGCTTGATAGGAAATATACTCATTATCTTACTCGTGTAACTGTAACCCCTCTGTACAGTATCTTTACAATAAAAAATATATACAAAAAATACACCTCCTTGTGACAGTTTGTGAAGTCGCAGTATTTCTTGTTCAACCTTCTTCAACTTGATGAAGGGTTGCCTCTTTCTCACCTCCATAATTTTCCTGATTCACATTCTCTGGAACCTCTTCTGTTACTAATAGACACATCATGAGTCAGCTTCTGAGAATAGCTTAGGGTCAACTAATTTTCCCACTCTAACAACCTAGTATCTTGGGTCCTACATGACCATAGCACCTTCATGACCTGCCTCTTAGCTAGGACTACAGGTATGCACCACAAATCCCAATCTTGATTTATTTTCTTTTCAACATTCTCAAAACTGTACGTTGTTTTTCAAATCACTTCCCACAGACAGTCTTGATTATCCTTACAAGTCAACAAGTAAATTATTTTGCTTTAAAAAAAGCTTTGTGCATAATGAGATGAGACATGAATGCTGGATAAGATATAATCTTTAATGCTTTTATAGTGTCAAAATTTTAACTACAATCAATGGATATAATCCACAAGCTCAATCAAAACAGCATGTTCTTTTAATAAAAGAACTTCCTGTTGATAGATGGCCTCACAGACCTTAAGCTAAGTTACAAAACTGCCTGAGAAGCTGGCCCCAGTGGCTCATGCCTATAATCCTAGCTACTCAGGGGGCTGAGATCTGAGGATCACAGTTCAAAGCCAGCTTGGGTAGGAAAATTTATGAGACTCTTGTCTCCAATAAACCACTCAGAAAATCGGAAGTGGTGCAGTGGTTCAAGTGGTAGAGTGCTCACCTTGAGCTGAAGAGCTGAGGAACCGAGTTCAGGCCCAGAGTTCAAGCCCCATGACCACCACCACTACCACCACCACCAACAACAACAAAAACTGCCTTACAAGAGTAAGTTCATTGTCACTATACAACTGGGGGAGGGGTGTGGGAGAGGGATAAGCGGGAGAAAATGAGGGATGGGCTAACAGTGTTTAAAAACAAATGTACTCATTACCTTTCTCATATAACTGTAACGCCCCTGCTCATCCATCACCTTTACAAGAAAGATAAGATAAATAAAATAAAATTTTAAAAAGAGTATGTTCTTTGTCATAGAAAGTGGCACATCAGGCACTGCTTTATTCTTAGTAAGAAACAGGAAAAATAGGATGTGATTCGAAGGCAGCCGCATCGATTTCCCAATTTTCTCATACCGTGGGCTGCACTAAGGAGGACATAGGAAGATTTAAGTATCCAGAGATGCTGAAAGTCAGTTTGCAGATAATCTGTTGGGATCTTGCTGGGTGAGGACTCTTGCAGAGGAAGCTCTGGAGACAGAGAGGAGGAGGGGGAGGAAGGTGACCTGATGTCTCAGAGAGCTATTTTGAAGTGATCCAATCGGGTGCCAACCTGTGTCTAAAACCTGAAAATGTTCTTGAATGTCTGAGACAGGCTGGAGGAAGCCATGGTTAGAAAGTGAAAAAGTAAAAGAATCCTACCGAAGTACCATCTAGATGTCAGAAGCCAGGAAGGAAGCCGAGAGTTTTAAGAGACAGGAAGTGGTGGAGAAGCTGCCAGGAAAGGCGCAGGGAGGGGGCTTTATTATCCCCATGCTCTTCTCACCCCGCGTCCAGCTTACACAATGCTGATAGAACCTCGGCCTGAGACATTGATCCTCCATTGTGAAACCAGAGAGGAATCCCAGAAAGCAGGCCCTGAGGCCTCCCCGCCAAAGCTTCCTAGTGCGAGCCTTCATGACCCTCTGCTCTTTCTTCACCTGGAGACTGAGGACTGGGCCAAGTTCTTTCTTTGATGGGGAGGGGCCTACCATGAGTGCTGTGAGCACCCGGGAGATGGAAAGGAAGGGGAAGCACTCGATTTTTTTGCACTGGGCCAAGGTGACTCTGCAACTCTGTGTCTCTACTGCTGGCGCAGAAGTACTTGGCTGAGTCTCCGGGTTGTGTGGGCTGGATCTTCAAGTTGGAGCGCGACGCAGTAGGCATGTCCGCGGAGAATCGCTCTTTGGGCATCCCTGCATCATCCACCAGAGCCTGGTTCTGGAAGGAGATCAGTGCTTCCAGTCCCCGCGCCACGGTCTGTCTGTACCAGGAAAGGGCAGTGTGGCCTGCCATGGGCTCACACTTCAGAGCTACGTTCTTTCCCTTCCCTCTCACCTCATACCTGGGTGTCTGCACCACCCCAGCATTTAGAGATTCTGGAAAGAGACAGAATAAAGAACATAAATATAACCATAACTAACAATGTCTAAAAATAAAATCCAGACTCTTGTTTACTGCAACCTCACCTACTCCCAAGAAACAAAGAATCACAGGGTAAAGGGGGCTGGTGGCCATAGCCGGAGGACAGGAGGAGATTGTACCCACAAGAAGCTCAGCAGGGCTGTGGTTTCTGCAATCTACTGTCTCCTCAAGGTGGAGTATGGCCTAGCAATGACATCATGGTCCCTGCCACGGCTCAGAGGACTTTCTTTCCAAAGAAGAGCCCTCTCCCCTGACAAGATTTAAATCATTTGTGATTCTGATTGCAACGTAGTTAGTTCATTGAAAGACTGCAAGCACTGCAAGCACTTGTCTCTCATGGTCTCTGTATTTGGGTAACCACCAACGTCACTTTCCTCATTCTGCTTCTAGTCTATGTGCCATGAGCTCCTCAGATTCTGGGCATTGGTTAAAGTGCATTTTACATTTCAAATACTTCATCATTCCTAACTCTATCTCTGCCCTCCCCCCCACAAAGTCAAAATAATTATTGCTTATTTAAGCCTTTGTCCCAGCCTCATCCTGGAACATTTGAACTTACTCATTATAAGGACGGCAAAGAGATGGGGCTGAGATGATTTTACTCCTAGTGAAGGAGAAAAAAAGATACTCATGAAGTGTATGGTTCTCTTATCCACAACCCAGGAAAGTCTCAAAATTTTGCTAATATCCAAGTCCTTCTGTGGATTGAATAGAGACAAAAGAGGACTTCCACTTCCCCTTAGGCTCCTCCATAAAGCACTCTGCAGTAAATTCTAATTTTCTAGCAAATTTCTTCAGGCATTAGCATCCAATTTTCTAAACTTAACACTTCTTGGTGGAGAGGGTGGGGACAGATACAAATCTAAGAATCTTATAGTATGAGAATGAGTATAGTATTACGGATCTTATAGTATGAGTAATAATGTGATTCCTGTTCTTATAAAAGCATAATGCACTAGATCCCTGTCTTTGCTACTGGCAGAGAGACACACTCTTCCAGGGTCAGGACTACAATGTAATTGGATTCCTTGGAAGTTACAGAGCAAAGCAATCATCATGGTGGAGCGTCAGCAGTGCTCACCCTTCCCTGGTCTGGCGTGTGTGTGTGTGTGTGTGTGTGTGAGTGTGTGTGTGTGTGTGAGCATTCTGTTCATCTTTTACACTATCTCTCCCTCTCTGTTCAGGTGTAGCATCCACACAGGAAGAAGTCATTTACAGGGCTCACAAAGGAGGACGACACACAAATGTATGGACACACTTAAAACCAGGGATTTTCTCATCTGTACCCAGCACTAGTCTATTTTAAAATATAAAGAAAAACTGGAGTACGTGAAAAGTTTAGCACATGATTAAATTGCCCCTTTGCTCAGTGTTTTGTTCCTTAATAGTGGGAAAAGTTCAGGTTTTATGGGCTTCCATAGGTCCCGATCATTCTTTCTGGTGACATTAATCAACTTCTGAGTGGAAGCGTTACACCTCTGGGTTTTCCTCAACATTCCTGGCAGGGCAGGAAGACCAGTGCAGACTGGGCGACAGGAAAGCCTTGTACAATAGCTGCTGTGATGGTGCTGGCACACTTGCTGCTTTCCTTTCTCTGCAGCAGCGTACATCCCTTCTTCTGTCATGGCTCATAGTTCTCTTGATGAATTCGAACTACTTCTGACATAGAGTATAAAGCCTGTGCACTTTTTAAATTAATCCTATAACATTATGCAATAATTTAAGTCAATGTTTGCATTTTCCTGCATACACGGTTTAACTGCATTGTCTGGAGAAGGATCTGTATTACTTTTTTTCAACAAAAAGAAAATGGCTAGTTGGACTTGGGGTCTCAGATTCACAGTTATTGCTATCCAGGAGCATACTGTTACTGATACTTTATGATTCTTGATTTTGTAGAGAGTATTGAAAATAGAAAATTTCCCATGACAATCTATCTACTGGGGGTAATGAATAAGTATATTCTTAGTGTGTGAAAGACCGGATATCAAGGCTGGCCTTATATTTTTTCTTAATTTCTTATCCATGGATGGGAAGGTTATAATCAGGCAATATCTCACTGAATATCCAGCCAGGAGCAGCAGCAATGGCTGGAGAGCTCCATGTGTCACGAACAGCCCACAAGCTTGCAGCAGCCGCCGCCAAAATACTCATTTTGTATTTAAATAAGAAGACATTCACAATTCCAAGAACATCTATTGGATATTATTAACATAGAATAATCTGCTGTGGGGAGTAAAGGGGCATGTTGTTTCTACATTTGAAGCATTTGTACACTTCTGTACAACTACTTAAAGATAATTTTAAAAATACCAAAAAAATGAAATGTTAGTACTCTTTGAAAAAAATAATTCTTTGGTATTACAGTTTTGGAGAAGTAGCAAATTTGTACAACTGTGTCCAGGAATCCCATGCTAGCCAGGGAATCAGCCAATATAAGAGGCAACACTGATACTTGCACATCATAAGAAGTCAGTTTATATGACTTGCATGTAAGCAGGGACAGCAGATTGTGCTGTGTAATGAGCCCCCCTTCCCCATTGGTTTAGAATGAAACCATTAATCATTACTTCTGGGGCTGTGGGTTGGACACACAATGCTTCAAAATCTTTGCTCAACCAGTTCTTTGGAGGCTTGCAAATATTTTCTCCATTTCTACAGCTTCTGTTCACATCCTTTGCACAGGCAATGATTTAGTACCAGTGTTTGAATAAGGAACTCTCTTTAAAGATTTCAATCAGTGTGAATTTAAAAAGCAACAGAACAGACCCTGGTGAAATTCCAGAGCTCCATAATATGTAACTATATTCTCACTGAGGAGAATGATCCCGATTGATTGATACAGTTATGCTTTTACAAAATGAGTATCTATTAATAAACTCCACTGCAGATTGGGAGTGCCCAGAGATGTTTGCTGCTTTGTGGAGAAGGAAAGTGTTCAACAACATCCTGAATGATTAGAGGATTCAAAAGCATGGAGACAGTGGCAGCAATGATAAGGACAGATGCACAGAGGGACATTCAATTGCATATGTTTTACAAGGAGATGAAGTACCTTTGACTCTCAATAAGGTAAGTGCTGTGAAGCATCCTAACAGACCAGCTTTTCAAATTTTGAACAGCATGCAGAAGTGGCACTCGCATCCTGAATTCAGTGGAGAGACATTGAGTGCATCAAACTTGGAAAGTGTGATATATGAAGATTATTATTCCTAGTTCACCCATCTTGTACTTACTTTGTATAATGAAAAATGAAGATGAAATTAACATTTTATGTAGTGCCTTGATAGCAAAAAGTTTCTATTCTAGGAAAATTCAAGAGGGTGAAGGATGTGTTCACAGCTTACCATGAGAAAGGAGTAAGAGGATAAACTGGTGGCCTTAATTAGGAAGGTTCCCTTCAAATGTGAATGGCAGTGTGGTGCTTCTGGTTTATCTGATATGTGAGCTTTGAACTCACAATTTACAAGGAATCCCATAACTTTTTTTTTCCTATCCCAGATCTTCCCTATTGATACTTTATCAGTGACTGCCTTTTGCACGCGCCAAACCCACTCATGGGGAATGAGGAAGGCTGGGCCAGAAGGGAGGCGGGGACACAGCAGGGTTTCTGCACCAGCAGAGTGAGATTCTGTGGCACTGTGGATGGACTGCTGGCACAGAGGTACACTGCTGAGTCCTTGGGCTCTGTGGGTTGGATCTTCAACGTGGAAAGTGATGCATTAGGCATCTCAGCTGAGAACCGCTCTGAGGGCATCCCAGTGTGGTCTATTGCATCCTTGTTGTTGAAGTAGATCAGCAGTTCCAGGCCCTGTGTCATGGTCTGTCTATACCAGAAAGTACGGGTGTGCCCTGAGATTGGCTTACACATCAGCATCACTGACTGCCCCTTCTCTGTCACTTCATGCATGGGTGTCTGGGTGACCCCGGCATCTGCACGCTCTAGGAGAGAAGAGAGAATCGGGGGAAAGAATAGAAAAATGGTAGGAGCTCACCATGACGATGTTAAATATTCTAAGGACTCACTTGCTACCAGGACACAAAGGGCCACAAAGAAGAAAGTCTGGTCATCCATAGCTGAGGGAGAGCAGATGGAGGAAACAATGAGCAGAAAAATGACAATGAGACATTTCCGGCTGCCAGTGACATCATAAATGAGCCACCCCCACCCAACCTGAGGCTCTTATCGGAGGAGGTCTCACTGCTCAGAGATGAGTTTGGCAGGCTACCCGTAGCAGTCATTGATTGAGGTGCAGACCTCAGACATCTAGAGGACACTTGCAGGCACACTTAAGCCATCACGCCCTCTCTATTGTAATCCTCCTCTAGTATCCCGCCAACTATTTCCAGCTGCACTTCAATATCCAAAAGTTCAAAGAGGAATTGTTGTCTTATTCAAAACCAGCGCTTCTGCCAACTCAACGCTCTCAGTTACATACTCACATCAACATCACCCTTGTGGTGCTTCACAGCTGCTCTCAGAGCTCTTCTGGAAGAGCAAGGATGACAGCGTGGAGGAGCTGAATGGATGACCTGTGAGCTGATTAGACTGGAGAAAGTCTTAGGGGTAAAAGATCTCTCAGAGTGCACTAATCCTTGAGCTCTGCTAAACTTCCAGGGTGTGCACAGCATAGACTCTCTCATCTCTTCTCTATCCCCTTCAGAAAACATGCAGATCTTTCTCTTGCCCTGTAAGATCTGTATATAAAACATTCCAGTTGATTTACATCTTGTTTCCATCCCCTAGATACCTGGTCTTTTCCTTCTTAAAACAATCCTGCCATAAACCTATTTCCTCTCTGAGTAGACGGTATACAAAGGGGAAAGAGGGATCCATGTCTTGGGTCCATTTGTTATTTTGTAACAAAGAAGAAATAGTTTAATTTCAATTTCATTTTGTTTTTGACAAAAAACCCCATCACTGAATCCCCTTAACCTGAGAGAACATGACAATCTTAAGTAACAATTGGTTTCCAGGCAGGTAGATAGTGTCTGAGATGACTCTTTCCCAGAGAGCTCGAAGGTCTTGTACTATCTTAGGCCTATGGTATAACATATGATCATTGATCTCTTTTCATAAAGACCATCGCTTCCCTGTCACCAGCTGCCTAGACATGGCAGGCAGAATGACAGTCCTTCAAAGATATGCGTGTCTGATCCTTAGAGCCTGAGGCTGTGTTGAATGATAGGGCAAAGGGTAAAGTTACCAATGCAATTAAGATGGACAATCATCTAACTTTAATAGGGGGGAGATTGTATTGGAATTTCTAAATAAACCTGATTATAACACAAGGGTCTTAGAATCTGGAGGAAAAAGGAAAGCAGAGAGCCCTAACCCAAGAAACAAATCAGGCAGCTGCTATTGTCTTTGAAGAGGGACAATGGAGACCATGAGACTTTGGATAGGGACCATGAGCTGAGGGACTGGTAGCCTCTAGAAGGTAAAAAAGACAAAGTACAGACTCATGCAGATACTCCAGAAGACATGAAGTCAGGACAACACTTTGATTTTAGCCCAATTATACCCAGGAACAACTGACCTACCAAACTCTAAGACAAGAAATTGATGTTAGTTTAAGCTGGCAACTTAGTGATGCTTCCTTATAGCAGCTACAGACATGTAACACATTGTAGCAACCATGAAACTCATGGGTGAAAGACTTAGAAGCTGGGTAGGAAACACAGGTAAAAAACCACATGCAAAGAACTTCAAATCAGGCCAAGAGAAAGTAGACGAAAAAATTGTCATTTCTTCCCAGATCTCATCTGCTTTAGAGCACACAAGACAGCAGAATGGATTTCAAGGTGCATTATATACATTGACATCTTCCAGAAGAGAAAAAATGTTCTTGTTGCTTAGACCCACCTCATCAGTGGACTTGCTGTGTTTCAACTATGTCACCTCCTTGAGGTCAAGGCTCCAGTGATCTGGTCTGGGGAAGTGTTCATTTCTCCTGCTCTGCCTCAGAGTATGGCTGCCTTAAGCCGGTGTGAGGTCTTCTGACCCACACAATGCTTCTAGTTCCCAAACACAGAATGCACAAACTGTACCTTCCCCAAACCTTGTCCCACTGCAGGCTGACTTGCTACCTAGAGACCAATTCAATTCTTAAGGCAGAGGAAAACCCATCTCCAAAGGAACAAAAGAGGAAGAGCTGTTTTGTGATCATCTGCCATCATTTAAGACATCTGCAAACCAATTCCTAGAAACAAGGCCTAACCTCAGAGCGTCCCTTAACTCTTTTATTCCAGGGACCTTTTCAGTGTCTCCCTATCTACTTTCGGGGTCCGTGAGACCACACTGCCTCCTACTGCCCAATGGGGGAGAAACAACATAGAATCTAGGGGAGTTGTGATTAGCGATATTTAGGATAGAAGGTTTGAGTTTTTTAACTTTTATTTTATTGTAAAGGTGCTGTACAGAGGGGTTACAGTTACATAAGTAAGGTAATAAGTTCATTTCTTGTTGAACATTGTTACCCCCTCTTTGATTTTCTCCTACTATCCCTTCCCTCTCCCATCTTCCCCACTCCTCCCCTCCCCCCAAGTTGTAAAGTTCATTGCCAACATAGTGGCTTGTGAGTATCATTGTAGCAATGGATAATCCTGTGCCCCTGTTTCAGTATTTTGTTATTCCCTTTCCCCTCCCCAAATTATATAAATGTATATATAAGAAACAGGGCACCAAAATCAAATACAGTGACAACAGGGGATAGATATACCATAGGGGGAAGAATATACAAAAGAAACAAAAAAACCTACATAAAAACAACAACAACAAAGAAAAAGAGCTCCCCTATGACCCAGCAATCCCCCAATGACCACAAATAAGGTCACACTAAAGCTATCAGCACAACTATGTATATCAGCAGCATTATTCACCATAGCTAAGATATGGAACCAACCCAGATGCCCCTCAGTAGATGAATGGATCAAGAAAATGTGGTATATATATGGTGTATACACACACACACACACACACACACACACACACACATAATGGAATTCTATGCTTCCATCAGAAAGAATGACACCAACCCATTTGTGGGGAAATGTAAAGACTTGGAAGTAAAGTAAGTCAGACACAAAGAACTATAGGTCCCATGGTTTCCCTAATTTGCAATAATTAGTATATATCTAGGATGATCTTATCAGATGAGCAGAAAAGCTCAAAAGCTATGTGCATACGACCATATAAGATGATACTAAGTGAAAAAAAGCAAGATATGTACATACATAAGGTTTGAGATTTTGTAATTCGTTGAAGTTAGAGGGTAAGTGAAAAATATTAACATATTATCATCTGAGAGACAGACTGTAGACTCATATGCAGAAATAATGTCACTTTTAATTTTTGTATAGTCAAGGTGATGTACAGAGGGATTACAGTACATGAGTAAGGTCATGTAACTTGCCAAACTTGCTACCCTTCCCTCATTATTTTCTCCCCCTCCCTAGTTTCACCTCCTCCACATGGAATGGATCATTTCCAACACATTGTCTTATGAGTATTGCTGTTGGATTGGTTCCCCCTTGTCCTTTGTCTCACCATTCTGTTGTTCCCCTTCCCTTCCCAAATTCAGATAAACGTATGTACTATACCAGGGCACCAAAATCAAGTACAGTGACAACAGGGGATGAACCACAGGGGGGAAGAACACAGGAAAGAAACAAGCAATCACATAGCACATAAACACAGCAGCAACATGTGTCCATATTTTCGAGTTCGTTTCGCTCAGTAGGTTTCCTTATAGCATGCACATACCATAGTTTCAGTTCCAATATTGTTTAAAACAAACTAAAAACAAAAACAAGGCTTAGATATGAGACCTTATAGGTTGACTAACACTATGCTGTCATGGAGTTAAAGTCTAAGGTGAGAATACACCAACTGGTTACATCGAGAAGTTGGATATAAACCTGTTTGTTGGTGACCTGGGATCTCAAGTGAGACATGCTGATGCCCAGAGCCTTAAATTGTTCTCATCTTATACAAAATTTGAGGGAACAAAAATAATATTCTCTCTGGAAGGTAGAGATACATCAAAACATGCTTGTATATAGCACAGGAATTTATTTCAAAAAATACAAACGCTGTGAAAAAGTAAAAACCATGAATGAGAATTAACACAAAAAAATTCAAATGGGAAGGGATGGGAAGGGGAAACAAAGGAGGAGGCTACATTGCTTGATAAGAAATGTACTCATTATCTTGCCCATGTAATTGTAACCCCTCTGTACAGTATTTTCACAATAAAAAATTCAACAAAAATAGCTAGAGTGTGGTGGAATATTTTCTTAGGCTAAGAAAACATGAGGTCCTGCCTTCAATTCTCACAACAAAAGAAGAGGAGAGAAGAAGAGAGGAGAATGAAGGAGAGAGGGAGGAAAAGAGATCACAAGGGAAGGGGTGGAAGGGGAAAGAAGGGGAGGAGAAGGAAGGAGAGAAGAGGAGGGCAGGGGAAGGGAAAGGAGGGAAGAGGAGAGGAGAGGAGGAGGTAGAGAAAGAGGAAGAAAATTGCACATAGATGTTAGAGGGGAAATCATAAGACAAGCTCTTAAATAAATATGTTATTTTATGTTTGAAACACTAAATATGATCTAGAAAACATCATGAGGGACTTAGTAACTATAAGAAGTGATATAGCAGGATGGGAAAAATCAAATAACAATGGTGATAAACATAGACAATTGACATGGTCAATGGTCATATTCACCCATCCCATGATTGTCAGAAAGTATAAACATATTGGAAAATTATCACTGACTGACAAGGCATACTAACCCTAACCCTGACCTTCAGTCTAACCCTAACCCTACCCCTCAGCCTAAACCTCACCATTACCCTAACCCTAAACCTAATCCTCACCCTATCCCTAACCCTAACCCTAAACCTGACACCCACCCTAGACCTCAACCTAACCCTAACCCTAGCCCTAATCCTCACCCTAACCCTAACCCTAACCCTAACCTAGCAGGTAGGCTAGATAAGGAGGGAAGAGATGCCAGGATGGGCTGCAGAAAGAGAGAACACCTTCACATAGTTCCCAGTCAATGACTTTTCAAGTACTTCCAGCAGGTGAACCATATGAATCAAGGCTTGAATGGTGCAGGGCTGGGTTGGTTCGAATGGAAAAACATAGAGCTCTCTAGGAAAAGTAGAATTTTGTTTGACTAAAGATTTGGGATTAGGGTATGTAGTAATAGAGGTGCTGG